AAGGGAAGATACATGAACCAAAAGTAAATAAGGAAGGGTAATCGGAGTAGTTATAAAGAATTTATATCAATAAAATATGCCAGTTACGATTATGGGCAATCAATACAATTAACGCCCATTATGTGAGAAAATCGTTATGATTGTACACTCCTATATAAGGATACATAATTTTATTCATAGGGACAAGTTCCAAGTACTATTGAAATACATTCTATAATTCTTTGCTTTACAATCTTGATTTTAGGGATTGATTATTGAATTATTCCTTATTACTCTTTGCTAATTCTCTCTATAATTTTCATTATTTTGCAAACAGCCGATCGTGAAAGTGGAGTAAAACTTGGTTATCAGTAACCCTTTTTCTTATAAATATAAGCTTTGACCAAAAATCTATTTTTTGGTTAAACAAATTGGTTTCGTTATCGGGAATCTGATAATCTTTTCACTTTCCAAATTCTTTTTCTGACAAATAACTATGTTGATTGTTAACGATAACAACCAGCTGAACCCACAAGAGGGAGCAACTCCACCTCTCCTCTCTCCGCAAGGATCTCCTCAACACTCCTGTGATGGATCACCTGAACGATCTACGTCACACGCTAATGACCAGCAAGGGGATGAACAAACTATCGAACAAGACGCTCTAAAGCAATTGATTGTACAACAAGTGAATAGTGCTCTTCAAGCCTTTGTTAGGGGATTTCCAACTGCACCACAAAATCCTCCACCAATTAATACCGCAACCCTAGAAAACCCACGCTCTGTTTGGAAGTGGAGGAACTCTCAGTGAATCTCGTGATGGAAGGTCAGGTATACCAAATAATTCTGATTTACAAAATTTGGTACTAACTTTGCAGAAACAGATAAAAGAGAAAAATGATGGCATAGAACAAATACCTGGCGTACCGCCCGTGATTAAAGGGGTAGATGTTGATAAATATTCATAACAGCCCTGGAAGCCAAGTGCAGCACCTTTGCCGATTCCTAAAAAGTTTAAAATGCCTGATATTCCAAAATATGATGGAACAACTGACCCTCGAGATCACGTAATTGCAATCACAAATAGCGTGAAGGGCAATGATTTAACCAAGCAGGAAATCGAATCAGTTTTGGTTAAAAACTTCAGTAAAACACTCATGAAAGGAGCATTAACGTGGTATTCTCTTTTACCTGAAAACTCTATTGATTCTTTGGCTGAGCTTGCATATTCATTTATAAAAGAACATTCGGGAGATCAGAAAGTTGAAAAAGGGATGGAGGACATCTTTAAGGTAAAACAACGAAATACAGAATTACTCAAGAAATTTGTAGATAGATTCCAACAGGAGAGGATAATGTCACCACGAGTACCCGACAACTGGGCAACTATGGCATTCGCAGGCAATCTAAACGAGAAAAGTTAAGAAGCCACGAGGAGATTGAAGGAAAGTTTGGGAGAATTTCTAGCAACAACTTGGAATGACGTGTACAATAGGTACAACACAAAGCTGCGGATAGAAGAAGATACGGTTGCACAACCGAGAGTTGATGAAAGAGCAGGATCGAGAGGTTCATAATCAGAAAGAAGGACCGGGAAAAATAGGTAAGAGCCTTACATGGGACCTGCATGGCGAGATTCTCGGTCTAACCAAGAAAACACACGATCTGAGTCAAGGTCAAGCTAAAAAGATGTGGGTTCTTCATCTAGATTCATAAAGGAACGGGATACACGAGGCAACGACTCCAATACACATGCGAAGGTCGGTGATTACAGTTTAATGTCAGTACCTCCGAGTTAGTGGCTATTTTAAGAGGTATGGGAGATAAGGTGAGATGGACTAAAGAGATGAGATCAGACCCGAGTAAAAGAAATCCAGATTTCTGGTGTGAATTGCATAACGATCATGGCCATAGAACAGTAGATTATAGGTTACTACAGGGAGAAGTCGAGCATTTGTTGAAACAAGGTTATCTAACTGACATGTTTAGCGAGAAAGGTAGACAATCATATATGAAGAACATACAAGAACCCCCAAAACCCCCATCTCCAAAAAGAACAATCAATGTAATAACTGGGGGAGACGAGGTCAATGGTGTGACATATACGGCTGCAAAAAAGATGTCAAAAGTCACAATCACTCATGGGAAGCGAGTTCGTCAAATCTTGTATAGAGATAGTTTAACATTTGATAACAAAGATACGAATGACTTGATGATTCCTCACAACGACGCACTGGTAATATCTCTATTTGTACACGATACTAACGTAAACGAGTTTTGATTGACCCAGGTAGTTCTGTGAATATCATTCTACTAAGAGTGGTAAATGAAATGCAAGCTAACAACAAGGTGATACCAAAGTCACGATCTTTGTCTGGATTCGATAATTCAAGTGTTATTACAAAAGGGGAAGTAGTGCTTACAAAATTTGCAGAAGGGGTTATAAGGATACAAAGTTCCAGGTGATAGATGCGGACATGGCTTATAATATAATTCTAGGAAGACCATGGATTCACGATATGGATGATGTACCATCCACATTGCATCAAGTTATTAAATTTCCCTCACAGTGGGGGATTCGGCAAATCCGTAGAAATCAACAGACTTCAAGAAGTATCAATTCAATGTGGTTACAAGCACGGTAAACGATGTAGCAAGAGAGAAATAGCAACTACAAAATTTAGTTGAGGACGTCGTAATACAAACTTCAACTGAAAGTTTTCCAGGACAAACTGATATTGATTCAAGACCCAATGTTGTCCAAGAGCGATAAGAAAATGAAAACATAAAGATAACTAGCGAAGAACTCGAAGCAAACCTAAGCCCAGAAATGAAAGGTAAGTTAATTGAATTTTTAAAAGCTAATGCAGATTACTTTGCTTGGTCGCATTCAGATATGACAAGTATTCCACCGGAGGTAATGACCCACAAACTGAATGAGGACCCATCAAATCCACCTATCAAGCAGAAGAAAAGGAGCAGGGATCTTTCAAAAATCAAGTAATCCAAGATGAGGTACAAAAATTTTTAAAAATTGAGTCAATACGAGAGGTAAAATACCCTAACTGGTTAGCTAATACTGTGGTAGTTCCAAAAAAAGAATGGGAAATGGCGAGTTTGTGTAGATTATACTGATTTAAATAAAGCTTTTTCTAAAGATTTGTTTCCTTTGTTGCATATAGATCAACTAATTGATTCTACCGCAGGACATGAGCTGTTAAGTTTTTTAGATGCATAGTCAGGTTATAACCAAATAAAGATGGATCCTATAGATGAAGAAAAAACTTTGTTATCATAGATATGGGGACTTACTGTTACAAAGTCATGTCATTTGGTCTAAAAATGCTAGAGCCACGTACCAAAGATTGGTGACTAAAATGTTTCAAGAACATCTGGGAAAGACTATGGGAGTCTACATTGACGATATTCTACTCAAAACATTACAAGCGGGAGATCATTTTCAACATATGTCAAACACTTTCCAGTTTCTCTGCAAATACAATATGAAGCTAAATCCAGAAAAATATGCTTTTGGCGTGGCTTCAGATAAATTTTTAAGTTTTCTTGTTTCTAATAGTGGTGTTGAAGTGAGTCCTGCACAAATCAAAGCTATCGAGGAAATACTGGATGTACTTACAAGCAAAAAAGAGGTGCAGAGATTAACAATGAGAATAACAGCCCTGGGGAGGTTTATTTCAAAATCATCGGAAAAGAGTTTTAAATTCATTTCAGTATTGAAAAAGCAGAATCAATTTGAATGGACTGATCAATGCCAACAAGCCCTCAAGGACCTAAAATCGTATTTGTCAAATCCACCTTTACTAGCCAAACCAAAAGATGGAGAAATACTGTTTATTTACCTCGATGTGTCAGAAGTGGCGGTAAGCATGGTGTTGGTATGAGAAGATAAAGGTAAACAATCTCCAATATATTATATTAGTAAATCATTGCTAGATGTCGAGACACCATATCCTCTTCTAGAAAATCTTACTTTAGCATTAATTATGGCATCTAAAAAATTGAGACCTTATTTCCATTGTCATCCTATCTCTGTAATAACTGCTTTCCCCCTGAGAAATATATTGCATAAACAAGAACTATCTGGTAGGTTAACCCAAGTGGGCAATAGAACTCAGTGAGTATGATATCATATATCAGCCCAGAACGACAATAAAATCGCATGTTTTAGTAGATTTCAAAGCATATTTCAACACAAATTTAGTTCCTGAAGTAGAAAAGGAATTACAAATATTTACCTTATCTAATCCGAGAAGTTGGATTTTATTTACTGACGGTTCCTCGAATGTTAAAGGAGCGGGCTTCGGTATTGTTTTAATTCTGTCTTCAAGGGAAGTCATAAGACAAGCAATAAAATGTTATCACATCACCAACAATGAAGCAGAGTACGAAACTGTGATTGCAGGTTTGGAACTAGCACAAGAACTTGGTATAGAATAGATTGTAATCAAAAGTGACTCGCAACTAGTAGTTAACCAAATGCAGGGGACATACATAGCAAGAGAGGCACGAATGCAACAATACCTGGAAAAGGTACGGGAATTAGTCAGACAATTTTAGTCATGGAAGACCGTATAAATACCTAGGGAAGAGAAATCGGAAGTAGATGCACTGGCAAATCTCGCATCTGTTACGGAAATAACAAATACAGAAAATGCCATTGTAATACATTTGTTTCATTCGGCACTCCACCAAGACAAGAACGAGGTAAATTTTAATAATCTAACTTAGGATTGAAGGAACGAGTTTGTAAACTTTTTACAGTATGGAATCTTACCCGAAGACAAGAAAATGTCACAGTTGCTTCGTCAAAAAACCATCCGGTATTTCTTAATTTGTGAAAACTTATATCGAAAGATGTTCGGAGGTCCTTTGGCACGGTGTCTCGGACCTTCACAAATGGAATATATGATGAGGGAAGTACATGAGGGACACTGCGGCAATCATGCTGCGGGAAGGTCATTGTAAAGACTTTAATAAGAGCAGGATTCTATTGGACAAAAATGGAAGAAGAAGCAGAAAACTTTGTAGCCAAGTGCGATAAGTGTCAACGATATGCCCCAGCAGAATTGTTACATTCAGTTATCTCGCCATGGCCTTTAATGAAATGGGGCATGGATATCGTAGTTCCATTACCTCAAGCTAAAGTAAAGGTACGATTTCTATTGTTTTAACATATTATTTTTCAAAAAGGGTAGAAGCAAGAGCTTTCAAGCAGGTGCGAGAAAAAGAAGTCAAGGAATTTATTTGGCGAAACATTATCTGCCGGTTTGGAGTTCCAAAGGAAATCATGTGTGACAATGACCCACAATTCAAGTGCATGAAAATCACAGAACTCTTTCAGAGTTGGCAGATTAAATGGATTACATATGCAACCTTACCATCCTGTAGCCAATGGGCAAGCTGAGTCAACAAACAAAGTTATTATTAATAACTTGAACAAGAGACTAGAAGAATCAAAAGGCAAGTGGCCAGAAGTGTTACCAGGGGTATAATGGGCTTATCGAACGATAGCAAAAACAAGTACGAGCGAGATTCTATTTTCACTTGTCTATGTTATTGAAGCCTTAATTCCAGTAGAAATAGGTGAACCAAGCACAACATACACACATGCAATTGAGGAGTCAAATAAGGAAGAAATGCAAATGAACTTGGATTTACTAGAGGAATGGAGAGAAGCAGCGCTAATAAAGAAGACAAATCAAAAACAGATGATTGAGCGATATTATAACAGGAAAGCTAATATGAGATACTTCAAGATTGGGGACTTCGTCCTCAAAAAGGCATTTCGATCAACAAAAGCGGCTAATACGGGAAAGTTAAGTCCAAATTGGGAAGGCCCTTATAAGGTTTGTGGCATCGCAGTAAAGGGAGCTATGAGTTAGAAACCATGGATGGCAACATACTACCATCAAACTGAAATGATGTTCATCTATATAAGTATTACTTCTAGACGAAGGAAGTACCAATGGCCAGTTAACACGCAGATACAATTTTATTTTTTGTTATTTTGAATATTACTAACAATTTTAGATAATAGGCAAAAAACTAGCCCATACCAAATGATGATATTAAACCCGAAAGACTCATGGAATACTAAATTATTCTTGGTCTAGGTTACAACCTTTCTAATGGAAAAAAGGTTATGCAATCATCATCTAAACATATATCTCCGAGTTCAGTTTGTATTTTCATTTTCAGGGAATGGACCAAAAAGAAGGAGTAATCCAATGTTTAAGATTTCATACTTCAAAGCTCTAACACTAGGGGGGACTATGAATATAGACAAAGAAGCAAAAGAGTCGAAAAGCAAGCCTGAATCAAAAATCTTAAAGCAACCTTGAGAAGACGTGAACTCACAAAAAGGATACAAGATACGTTCCATGTTCCTACGAGTTTTAGGTTAAGGCCAAAATATAGTCACACGATAATAGACCCGATTTTGTATCTTAAAATCTGCTATAAAGAAAGCAGTTATGAAAGCGTTATACTTTTGTATCTGAAAATCTATTACAAAGAAAGCAGTTATGAAAATGTTGTACGAATAATAAAGAAAATGATGTACGAAATTTATTTGAAAGTTCAACGTTAAAACTTCCTCAAATTATTTCAATTCTGTCTACTTCGTCTTTCATACATTTACACCAATATAAAGATGAGATGTCATCTTCATCAGTGTCTTTTGCATAAAAAGGTCCCTCTTTTATAGAAACCCGTGTTTATCAAAGTCACGGATTATTAAAGCATTTTTTAAATGCACGGAAAAACTCAAATATCAAAGAGCAGAATAAACGATAAAAGTAACCGAAGCATATATATATATATATATATATTAAGCCTTGGAAAAAACAGAGGTATTAGTTTATCATTAAACCCCAAAAGAAGACAGGGGTAACTAAAAAAACCAACCTTCCCAAAACTTCCCAAAAAAGTTGTTAAGCTAAACAAGCATAAACCAAAAAGTAGGAAAAAACTAAGGAGCATCATCCACGGAAGCATCATCAATGGGAGAAGAAGGATTAACTTGAGAAGAAGAGTCTTGAACATTAGCCTTACCAAGAACAAGTCCATCTCCATCACCCTCGGGACCTTCGTCTTCAGGTGAGGAAAAGCTTTGACATAGCTGAGTTTTATCAATTGCTTCTTTAGACTTAGCAATCTCAGCATTAAGGTCAAAACCCTCCTGGTTGGCTTCAATTAGAGTCTCGAGGTGAGTGTTTAAGAAAGCCCAGCTCACATCCAACAATAATTTATCCTCGAGAATCTCATAATCCTTCTCCCACTGGTCAATCTCAGCTCTCAACTCTTTTTTTTCTACTTCAAAGGCATCGCAAGCTGTCTTAAAAGGAGCGAGAGAGCTTTTCAAGAACTGAATCTTATCAGTAAAGGCACGGAGATCTTCCTGAACTTGATTAAGTGTTTGAACTAATTCTCCCGCATAAACCTCTTTCTGGTTAAGGAGGTCCTTCAAACTCTTTATTCTTCAGTTTCTTTGGAAAGTTGTTCAGCGAAAGAGGACTCAAGAATATCCTTGTGCTTTCCAACCTGGTTAGAAGAAGCTTTTTCAAACACTAGTTCAGCATCAATCACCCTCATTTGTTGTTCTAAGGCATTCTTTTCTTCCGCTAAAAGCTCTTTTTCCAGTTGAAGACCATTGAATTGTTCTTTCCAGTTGTCAGCTTCGGTGCGAAAATTGATAACTTGATGCTCCGTCTGAGAAACTCTTTTCATAAGCTCTATGCCAATCAAGTTGATCTGCAAAAAAAAGAGTTATGAATAAGAAAGAGAAAAGAAAGGAAATATAATTAAGCATGTACCTTCAAAGAAGAATGAACGATATCATTCATTAAAGTCAGAGAGCTATGGTTTTCTAACTTCTTCTTCTCTACGGGGCCTAGCAGAGGCTTCAACCATACGTCGGCTTGACCAGATTTTCTTAATAAGTTTCCCCCTTCAAGAACCTCAACAACAACTCTTCTCATTTCACTCCTGCTGCTATAAGGACCGACCTATGCATGAGAAGTAGTCACGGGAGTAGCAGATAGAGTAGAAGCGGCCACGAGAGGCATAGTTGGAGCAGCATCAGGTAAGGACACGGGAGGGCTAATGAAAACTGAAACTAGAAGGGAATCAAGGGAAATTTATCAGAAATAGGCCCAAAAGCTTCATCACCCTCGAAGCCATGAGCAAACAATCTATCAACAGAACCTGTAATCTTCATCGGAAATCACCAAAGGAGCACTCTCTGGCTCATCTATGAGTCTAAAAGGGATTGAACTTGTTTGAGGATCACGAGAAGGAGTCGACTCATCATCAGAAATTACACGTCTCCTGACTCATGGTCTTCGTACTAAAGAACCCTCATTTGTCTCCTCTTCGCCATCAGAGCCACAGGCTCCGTTAGGTTTTCTTTTTGAAGAAGAAACATTTAAAATTCTTTCCTGGTTGATGGAACAGACACGGGAATAATGCCACGAATAAGAAACCCTAATAAAAAAGGGAATTGTAGGAAATTCTTGAACAAACAAGGAAGATAAAATTTACTGTGCATCTTCACTTTCCAACCAAATTTTTGAGAAAGGTACTTCCAGGATCTTTTCTCCATAGGTGTAGCTGTTAACAATTTTTCTACCCAAGCACGGAAGTTGGGAATTTCATCAAAAACTTCAATGGTTGCTGAAAAATTGAGTATATGATTATAATGAAGTCCTTTGAGACATTTCTAAAAAAATAAGGAAAAAGAAAGCTTACGTGCAAAGTTTCATTTCTCTGGGAAAGGCATGTTTTCTTCGCCTACTAATCCACTAGTGGGAGCATCAAGAAAACGAGTATATTAGCCATGAGTACAAGTGAAGCAAGTGCCGAAAAGTGAAAGGCATGGAAACTAGATCTGCTAAATAACGAAGGCATGCAATAACCCTCCATACTATGGGGCCAACCTGGCCAAGACATACGTTGAAATAATGGAAGAATTCAAAGATTACTGGATCAATAGGAGGTTTGAACCCTAAAGTGAAAGGGTAGGTATAAACAAAAGAAAAACCAACATGATAGGAAGTAATACTCTGGTTGGCACCAGGAACTAAAATTGGGAAATCTTGTTTCCAGTAACATTTTCTTTGAACCAGGGAAAAAAAACCGGTAGTGATCAAACTCGAGTAAATGTCAGCAGGATAGAGGGAGGCCATAGAAGAAACTTGATTTCTTATGGTTTCATGATCAGTAATGAAAGAAAATTCTTGAGAAACAATCTCTACAACTATAGGTTTACGTACAGGATCAACTAAATCTCTATTCCTAGAAGAAAATCTAGGGGTTAAAGGGGCTCTAGTCTTAGAAGAAGATGGCTTAGCAGCACTACTCTGGGAAGAAGAACAACGGTTAGAAATTGAACAAAACTACGGAGCCGGCCACCCCTTCTACTTCTATTAGGAGCATTAGAGGGAACAAACTCGTCAACAATTACAACCTTACGAGGGTCTGGTAAAGACATGATTGTCCAAAGAAATACAGAAAGAAGGATGAAAATATTGCAAAGAAGGGATAAGATGATGGATACTGAAGAAAGAAGACTCTAAGAAATCAAAAAAGAATGGAGTATTTATAAGGAGATTCGACCATTATTAAAGTTGGTCATTATGAAGTGTCATAATGAAACTGCCACTTCATGACTGACGTAGCAGCAGAAAACCCCTAAAAAGCATTAAATAATTACAGAGCCAATCGTTAGAAGCCACATGGCATGGGCATTAAATGGATGTGATGTGCATCGTATCGATTCTGTAGGAGACATGATAACACTTGAAAAATGGCGGCAGAGAATTCCCCTCCCCCCCCCCATACAAGCTTACCACTTTCCGAATTATTCAGTTGAGAATATTCGGAAAGTGGGGGGACTATCTGTATTAGTGTAAAAAAGTCATTACACGTGGAATGTTAGTATGCTAACATTACATGAATCATGGAGCAATGATATAGCGACAAGTGACATTCTCAATTAATAGAATTAAGAATGAGAGAAACACCCACGAGGCAATACAGAGGAGAAACCGGGCCTGACAATTGTCAAAGAAAAAGCGAGGATGGAATGAGTAAGGATCAAAAAGAAAGGAAGATACATGAACTTGAAGTAAATAAGGAAGGGGAATCGGAGCAGTTATAAAGCATTTATATCAATAAAATATGCCAGTTACGATTTTTGGCAATCAATAGAAGTAATGCCCATTATGTGAGAAAACCGTTATGATTGTACACTCCTATATAAGGATACAAAATTTTATTTGTAGGGACAAGCTTCAAGTACTACTGAAATACATTCTATAATTCTTTGCTTTACAACCTTGATTTTAGGGATTGGTTATTGAATTATTCCTTATTACTATTTGTTAATTCTATCTATAATTCTTATTATTTTGCAAACAGCCGATCGTGAAAGTGGAGTAAACATTGGTTATCAGTAACCAGTTTTCTTCTAAATATAAGCTTTGACCAAAAATCTATTTTTCAGTTAAACAGTCCTCTTCAAGAGTACCATAAACATAAGAAAGCCCTCTCTTATGAAAATTCTCTCATTAAAGAGTTGATTTCGGAAGAACTTATGCTCGAAATCAAAATACATTTGGGAAAAAATACACCTGAAGCGTTGCACAAATAGACACAAAAAGCAAACTTGCACAAATACTTACAAAAACCCTCATGTTAAAGGGTTGATTTTGGACGAGTTTGTTTCCGAAATACAGATGCTTTTGGGGGGAAAATACACCTAAGGCCTTGCACAATTAGACACAAATAGTAAAACTTGCGCAAAACACTTAAACAAAAAAGAATGCAAAGGTTATAACTTGCATAAATATTCGAACGAAAGAACGCAGAAAGATTCATGTAA